TCAGTTTCCCCTCCTATGAGGGAGGATTTCCTTTGAGACAAGTAAATGTAATATTATCCAATGGGTCCTTGGGCTGTCTCTTTAAAGACCAGGCAGGAAGAAGGGCAAATTTTTAAGGTGTCATTCTGTCATCTCAAACAACTCAGTAACATTCCTGTAGGCTACCCTTCCTCTTTCCAAGCTAAGTAATCCCTATGTTCGTCATCTTTGGAAAACCACAAATGACTTGCATAAAATTCTCTGTATACTCCCTGTTTTTCAGTAACCTTTTGTATTAAAGTTAATGTCTTCTTTAAGAGGAAAGAAGCAGATATCTGCATGAACAACTCCACTTCTTTCATAATCTCTACTTTTCCTAATATCTGTTTAGAATTCTGCCTGGCGTCCTTCACCTTTGACTGCTCTCATTTTGGATAGACACAGGTCTACAACTAAACATTTATACTTTCACTATCACTTTGCTTTTAGAAGGGCATGAAAAACTGCAACATGGTAATAATTCAACATAGGCAAGATTTTAACATTTACATTCTCTTGTCTCTAATTCCACACTAAAATTCATGGTTTACAAAGTCAGGTTCCTAGCTGAATCAAGAAGCAATATTCTTTCTTAAAACACATCAACTTGTTGATTGTATGAGAAGACATGGAGTCTATAAAATGCAGGAGTCTTTAAAACGCAGCCTCCTGACATCCTGGTTATACTCACTTCCCTTACACATATTTCAGAAACCAGTCTGACACCCACATTCATCACTGCTGAAAAGTCACAAAACACTCTGTTCATTTAGCTTTTTATTTTCCTTCATGTTAAGGACTTCCAAAAGGAACTGGAGGAGGGATATGCTCAGGGCCCAGCAGAAGACAGACTCAAGAAGAACCAAGGGGGAATGGAACACCAGGAAGTCTGCCTTCAGCCACACGCATTAGCATCTTGAACAACTACATGTTTTAAAAAGGTGATCCCAACCACTTTTTAAACTTTACACTCCTTGAATCCTTTCCACACAAGATGCCTTGAAGGCTATAACCAGATCTTTGGCAATTTGTGCTCTCATCAGATGATCCATGCTTAGAACCTGCCTAAGCCTGGAGAGGTATGTAGCAGCTAAAGGGATCAGTAACCCCTTAGATACAAATAACCTTCAGGCACACTAAGTCTAAACCAGAGCAGTTTTACAAAATACATTCTTAATGGAGATCCTGAGGGCAAACACTCTAAAAAGGTAGAGTAGGCGAAAGAGCTTTGAGTTCACTTTTAGCCTGTAGTTCAAGAAAACTAAGCCATGGGTAACAAAAGCACACTAGCAATCTCGCCCACTCCACACCCCCCCATATACATACACAGGCACAAAGAGAAGTGGATTGCAGCGCTCCTCCCAGGCTCTCACTTCCACAGTTCTCACAGAAAGAGCAATGAGAAAGACAGAATATCCTGAAGCCTTGAGGTATAGTTGGCAATGAAAGGGTTAAGCAGCTTTCCTGGAAGCTTTCTAATCCCCTAGCTAGGCATGCAATTCTCCACACTACCTGTGCCACAATTTTTGTTTTTTAAAGTTCAGCAGGTTAAGCGTTACAACCAACACCTCACAAAGAAAAAGAATTTGCTTGGTTCAGCTCCATCCTCTCTAAAGCAAACACCAACGGCCCTGAGCCAAATCCACTCAGCACACACACGAGTCCATGTACAGTCCAAAAAACAGATGAAAAGCAGTTCAATTTCCTCAGGTAGCTCACCTTTTAGCCCCACACACTCAGTAGAGTTCACAAATTCGTGAAACACTTAAGTATTAGATAAAACAAAAGTACATATAAAATTCTATTAAGGACTAGGAAAACATTTATAAGTCACAGAGGTCACTATAAATCAGCAAGAATAGCTAGAATTCGGGTGAGGAAGGTCAAACCGTACCCATGGAAACAAAAGCAAAACAAAATAATATAGAAACAGAAGGACTATGAGCGTAAAATTTAAGGCTCAGAAGGAAACCTCTCTAACCAGAGGGTCATTCTTACCCTAAAGAAACATAGGGGAATTTGCCTTAGTCACCATAGGAGGAAGGTTGTCACTACTATTAAGCCTATATTTCTGGGGAAAAACGAAGATGTTCACCAGATAAAAACACAGTTACAGACAGCCTACAGTCACTGCAAAGGACAGTCCAGAAACACCTGTCTTGCTAGAAATAGGTAGGAAGAAATGAGTCACTATTTTAATTTTGTTTACTGTCCACATCTCAACCCTCTAGGTCCCAAAGCAACATTTTTTTTTCCTGTTTCCATCACTTTTATCAGTTTTCTTGCCAAACTTGTGGATCAGGGTCAGGATGCTAAAGGGTGGGGATTAGAGAAGAGAGAAAGAAGAAAGGGTTAGAAGCCATTTCTACTAACGTAGAAAGAGATACTGGGGTGGGAGGGGTAGTAATTACCTGGGAGAAAAGACTAAATCACTACAGTTACAAGTAGCAAATGGTTATTAAGATGCTAGACTTTCCCTCTCCTGGACAGTGCCCCATATCTTTCAAAGTTTATATGGTAAAAAGCAAACAAATAGCTCTCTGGAGAGGGGAGTAAAAAAGAAGAGTTATAGTGTGAAAACGTAATGAGATACGACAGTGTTACATGAATACATGACTATCAAGATTCTTTCAGATTGGAAGTAACTGGTACCTGAGGAAAGCAAGACTCTTCTACAGGTTAAAAAAATAAAAAATTAATAAAAAAAAAAAAAAGGATGTCCGTAGCCTGGGGCACAGGAGGTGGCAGAAGAGCTGAGGAGACAGTTATCATGAGAAATGTATGAAAGACAGTTCAGTTAGGTACTCACTAACTTCTTGGCCTTTTAGTCTAACTTCCTCCCCATGGGGGAGGTTTATCACCATCCTATGTCAAGAAGGGCATGATTATGAGAGAAGTTCTAACCCCCTGAAAAGTGATAAGCAACAGGGCATAGAAACAGGTTTTCTGGACAAGGAAATACTGGGAAGCCAACTAACGTCATGCCCAATGACCAGAGGAACTGGGCAGATACACATTCCTGCAATCACAAGGACAAACGTCCAAGGGAGGAGGGAAGGTAGGGCCCAAGTCAGGTAACATTCCTGAGGGGAAGGATTATCAGGTGACACAGGGCTGAGGGCCCAGAGTGGGGACTTGGGCGGGAGGAAAGTTAGCAGGTGAAAGCCATCAATCTTGGGGAAGGAAATGACCTTTAGAGAAGCAAATAAGGGGATACCAAAAAAGGAGGTAAGGGTAATAAAAGAAAATGGGCCCAGAAAAGCACCGAGGATCGAGATAGAGAAGGCGTGTTCGGGTAACAGAGGAAGAATAAAGGAAGTGGGGCTAAGAGGGAAGAGATGCGGCTGAGACCTGGCAGGGCTCTGAGGGCGGAGGGCAGAGAGCGCGGGCTGAGGGGTCAAGGAAGCCCCGAGGCTGCCGAGGCAAGAGCCGGGTGGGACTCCGGGGCTCCCCGAGGTACCGGAGCGGTAGGATGTGGGGCTGTGGAGCCCGGTACCGAGCAAAAAGAGGAAGGCGTTTTGCTTCCTCGCGGGGGCGGCTCCCTAGAGACGGGCGTGCACCCCTGGGGCCGGCTGCTGGGGTCTCCGGAGTCCAGAGGGCGGTTATGGGGCCAGGCTGAGGGAACCGGGTGGGAGGGACACTCACAAATTTCTTGGATTTGCCGCCGTCGCCGCCCGCCGAAGGCAGCTCGTCCGGACTCCGGCCCTTCTTCTTGTCCCGGGCCCCGCGGCCGGGCCCCAGGCCCCCGCCGGGGGGCTCCATGTCCAGGTTCGCGCTGGCTGGTGACCCCGCGCCGACGCCG